AAAGGGTGGGCCCAACAATTGTTGGTCTGGTCCCCTATCTGGTATGCCCAATCGAGTAAGTTTCTTGGATGATCGAATTTTGCAATGTGGCAGTCCGGCGGTGTGACTTTGGCAGCATGGCATGGCTTTCGGTTGTCATGGAAGGCCACTTGCTACTTTTGGAATTTTGGTGTTTGTGCCTTATAATATAATCTTTATGCTATCGAAGAACAAGCCCTGTTATCTCCTTTTATATATATATATATATACACACACACATTTATCTATCACATGAATCAAATATATTCATCATATATAGCTGCCTAAGAGGCACTTACATGAAGAGGTTGAGAGAGTGATGCAGCCAAGGATGACTTGCCGGCGTTAGTGATGCTCATGCTCACCGGTTTTTTTGCCGTTGCCGGCAAGTTGTCTTTGGCTACGTTGAACTCTCTTCTTCTGATGTAAGTACTGTAATTAGGCTTATTTATTGAATAAAAAAGATCAAATATCTGATTATTATTTGTTTGTGTGGTAAGTAGCCAAACTTGGCGTTAGTGGAGAGTTTGAATATGTTAAACGTCCCTTTCTTTTGGTTAAGTATTCCTCGATGTTGAACTCTGTAGGTTTTTCATTTTGTTGAGAAACATATACATTATATATCCTCTAAATATTATGATCACCCAAAAACCTCACGTAACTTTATATTTAATGTTGAAGGGTTATGTATGATTTAATGTTTTATATTTCTTCCTTTCTTGTAAGTAACATCGTATTACTCTTCTCCAGGATACAATCCCAGATAGCATGTGAAGAATTCAGCGGAATTGACGTGGAGATCAATATAATATGCCAATATATATACAGCACTTGCCAGGTCATGAGACAGACTATAGAGAATTGAAATTTTGTACATGTAGTTCAAACAGGTGCATACACCTAATATATTATTATTGTCATTGATTTTGTTTGACAAGTTGTATATAAACAAAACAACTACATTTTGATGAAGAGTGATCTGAGAGTGAAGAAAATTATATATTTGCCAAATGGTGATAATGGGTGAGGTGATGAGTGTATAAAGTTATATATATATATATATAGATATATAAAAGTGAAATGAGGTTTTCAACTGTTGGAAAGACATTTTTCTGCTCACTGTCCATATCCATGTGCAAATGAAATGTTTGCATGCACATGCTGAACTTTTAGTACATGGGGAGCCGTCCAAAGTGGGCCAAGCAATTATATCTCTGTTGCTTCTTGTGTGCATTTTGAGCCTCCCAAAATGCGTCCTGAAATGTAACATGTGCACTAGTCATGTCATAGTTAAGCTAAGAAAAATTTCATTTTCTCTCTAATATGTACATATGTTTTATATATTATTAAAATTATGCTTTTAAAATGATCTTATATATCTTGGGTTTATATATTTTGGATTTGCAATATCCGTGTGTATATCATATTGTTCCATCTTCAGCAATGAGGTTACCTGTGGGTAGCATTTATATGAAGTATAGTGGCCACATTTTCAATGGGACGCAACGATGGACCAATTAATGATTAATCTTAAACAAAGGAAAAGAGAAATGGGAGAAAAGCTGCTTGGAGTATAGAATAGCATCAGCAAAGGCGAAAGAGAAAGAGAAGGTTGAAATGATTACGAATATTCATGATGGGTAGTGCAGTTCTTAATATAGTCAATTGATGTTGCTGAATTATTTATATATAGTTTACATTTTGTCTTTTAATATTATTCTTAAGATTTCATTCAATTTTTTTAAAGAGAGAATTCATTTCCTTATTCAAAATGATGTATAAATTTATGTCATTGATCAGCTTTGTTGGAATATATACTGTACTAAATAATTGAACCAGGATTCTTCTATTTTACTGTAAAATATCAAGTAAAATTTTATAATAATACTCAACGTTTGTAATTGTGAGCCATTTTATTTTATTTTATTTTATTGTCACTCAGAGGTTAATCGTCTTTAGCAGCGTATTAAATTATTAATTTAGTAACTTGAGAGCTATGTAAACGTGATATATGAAACTTAAAATGATGTGATATTATAATATAAATAAATAGGAGTTCATAAAATTTTTGAAATAAGTTAATTTGGTAAAATTTTCCAATTAATTAAATTAATTTTTAAAAAAAATTCTAAGCAATTAAATTTGTCCAAAAAATTTTCTTAATGAAATTATTTAGTCTCCTAAATATCCCTCATCAATCAATTTGAACTCTTTACACAAATGTAATTCACAAATCATAAGAAAATCGCCACACATAAAACGATTAATTAGATAAGTGCATTTCATTTATTTACTCTCATAGAAAGATTGATTCATAAGATATATTATAATACTTACTTTGAAAGTTATGATTAAAATAGATTAATTTTTAGCTAAATTTTACTTTCTCTTTTTATTTTAAACATGATTGTTTTAATATATAAAATAATTATTATAAAAAAATCGTTCCCTTTATAATAATTTTACTGTAACAAAGTTATTTTTTAAACAATCCAAATGACATAAATTGTTTTAGGGATGAATTAAAAATCACAAAAATAAATGCATTATTGTGCCTTTTAATAAAAAAATTTAATTCTTTACTTGAGACATTGGTTATATTATTTTTTTTTATAATTTTAAAATGATCACTTTACATGCAAGCCTAATATTTTTTTATATATAATTATTTATTGAACTATTTTTAGAAAGACAATATAAACACACAATTAATATCACAAACTATTTTGTAGTAATTATTATTTTTCTTTCCCATAAATTTTTTTCATAAGTGTGGATATGCTCAAGTAGGTCAGGCATTAAGACTTGTTTGAACAGGATGATTAGTGAGAAAAGAAATCGAAAGGAGTGATTTTGTATAATTTTTTTTTTAATCTTTGTTTAGTTTTAGATGCTTTGTCTTCTTGTGAGGGAAAAAAAAGGAGAAGGACGAGAATAAAAATTCTTATCTTTTATGTTGAAGGAACAATGCTTGGTGCTTCAAATTTTTTATTACTTTATTGGTAAACAATATTTAAAAATATAAAAGTAAAAAGACAAGTATTAAGAAAAAGTTATATTAAAATTTTTAATTTTTTATTAAAATAAATATATTTTTCATACAATTTATTTATTTTTACTTTTATTCACCCATCCAAACAAGTGATTTTTTTTTTCTCTTTCTTTCTCTTTAATTTATCTCATCATCCAAACGAATTGTATATGTGAGTATCCTCACATTAGAAATTTGAACTACAATTCCTCACTCCTATCTGTGGTACGTAGCTGATTTTGCATTCCTCTAATATTAAAAAGCTTATTGGGGGTGTCAGTCTCTTTTCCTTCCCATCCTTTTGTCTTTTTTCCCTCATATTAAATTAGAAATAATCTATCACTCATATAAAATTAGCATGTTCATAAAAGATTAATTTATAATATATACTCTAAATTTATTTTAATATTTTAAAAAGTGTTAAATTCAAGTATATCTTGACCTTGGTGAATCTCATAATTCAACTCACTTAATTTTTTTTTTTACCAAAAGAAAAAAAATCTTAAACAGTGAGCATTAACTCTCAAATCCCAGAGTTAATAGTCTCAACCGTGTGGTTAAATTTTCTCATGACCTCCCCTTTGTCTCCTACGATTCAATTAGGTCGACCCGAATCACAAATAAAATATAGTATTTGAGTTTTAATTAAATTTAAACTTTTATAATTCAATCTGATTAAAGCTAATATGAGTTTAACCAACAAAAATATAAAAACTTTTTCAAGCTTTTTCCTCTGCCCCATTACTGTATACTCTCGCAATAGATTGGTCTAGATGGACCCAATGGTACATTTTTATATTAAGCACAAAATCCAAAACATGAAGCATATATCACTGTAAATTTTTCTCTTTTAGGCTTATTCTAATGGATTGGGCTGAAGTTATAAAGTCCAAAAGCTTAGGTTGGAGGTTGATATGCTGTGATTCTCAATCACGTTCAACGCACAACTATGTTGGCATTGCATGGAACGGTCTTAGTAATTAATGTTAAATCCTCATCCATACGATGACATTTTCTATTTGACTGTATTTAATAATTGAACATTCAACGACAGAGACTAAAGCCAACTTTTGGCTACTTGATCATTAATGTTTTAATGTCAGTACTTAATATTTAAACTCCTTTTTCTAGTAATTAAAATATAAAATATTTTACAAAATTAAGGATAAAAATAAAAAAAATATAAATTTAAGTATTAAATTAATTAACTAACGCCTTTAATTTTAGAAATCAAAGATAGGGTTACTTAGAACACTTCTTTCATTTTATTGTCGGAAAATATTTGCTCAATATCTCTCTCCAGACACCATATTGGGATACTGTGCGGTTTTTCTATATTGTTAACTTTTAATGTTATATAAAAATAAAAAATATAATAAAATATAAAAATAGGGTAAAGGTATTTAAAGAGGGTTTAAATAAGCTTTTATCCCTGTAAAAGCTGTAAATTATGAAAAATATATTAATTTTTGTGATTAACCTTTATTTGTTAAGTGTTAAGTTGAGTAACAAAATTTTAACATACCTCAGATAGTGAACACATCTTTATCTAACCAGCACACATTTATCTTGTTCAATATACTAATATCTTAATTATTAACTTAGCACTGTTACTTATTTATGCACTATAATTAGGATTTAGAATTCATATCACCTGTAATATGCTAATTAGAATAATAATATATTAAGTATTTAATATACTAATTAAAATAATATTTTATTCATCAACTCAATGCTTAATTGACAAAAATTAACAACGTAACTAATTTTTTACTCAATTAATTTATTAAGAACTAAATCCAACCTAAATTATTATAAGGATCAAATCTAAATCTAAAAATTTTTATTAAAAAAAAAAATTACACCTTAAAAGTTATTCAAAATAAGCCGCAAAAATTAAAAATAAATAAATAAATAAATAAAAATAGATGGTTTCAGTCGCAAACATCAAAAGTATACGCTATATTATTCTTGCTACGGAGATATAACTTTACACTATGCTTATACTGTTATACAGATATTTCGATCATTCCCTAGAAATCATTAAAAATTTACCATGCATCATACACAACTATTCTAACCTTCACTTGTGTAAAAAGAAAAATGACGTGAAAAAATCACTTGGATCTAAAATAACTGGGGCAATCATAAGCGGAGCAAAATGTTTGAAGAGCCGTCATGGCCAAGAGCACCAAGGTAGCAAGAAGTGTGAAGAGCCTCCAAGAATGGTACACATATTCAGTTAAGGTCCTATAGAGGTTGGCCTTGCGTTTATTATGAAAATACTTGTTTACTTTCTTTATGGTCTCATCCAATTTTTCAGTCTTGGTGGGTCCAATGGATTTGCTCATTCCATTGAACAGTTCCTCCATTTCTTCCACACTGAGTGTGCTACTTGACTCTATGATGTTTGCATTTTTCAACAGCCTTACATCCTCCACGGTGTCTATGATTGCTCTCATCAATTCTGTGTACCTTGTGAATATGAGGAAATCTGGTTTGGTCAAGGCCTCATGAGCCACAAGGTTTCTCATTATCACTTCAGAGTTAACATCTAATTTGAGTAAAGGGAGGTAAAGTATGCCCTTTTTTTCATTAAATTCAATGGCCATGATGCCTCCTTCTGAGGGTTGAAATTGGATTCCAACTGAATGAAGTTCATGCACACAAGGAATGGTGACCACCACAGGGGCTTCATCTTGATCTTTATCTGCTTCAGGACGTGCCTTTTGCGATGAAATACTTTCAAGGTTTGAGGAAATATGAAGAATTGGATCCAAGTGTCGTTTAATGGGTTGGAGAAAAGGAATATTCACATCCTTTAGTTTTTTGAGTGTGTCTAGTGCCCATGTTATTGCACTTTTAGCTTTCTTTAACAAGATGACTGAGGCTTTTTTATCAGATTTTGAGCTTGTCGGAACATTATCAGTGGTGGAGTCATCATTACAAAGGGGTTTACTCGGACATTCGCTTTTGAAAAGTGGTTGTGTTTCGGACTTTTCATTTTGAAAGACCACCAAATGGTACATGAGATCCAAGATATGGTAATATTTGGTGACAGCTTCAGAACTTGTTGGGGTGTGAGTTGACTTGAGTGGAGAGTGTTTGTGACAAAATGACAAGAGCATTGAACCCAAGTATTCTTGAATTGAATCAATGGGATGGGAGGTTTCAAGCATCAAAATCCTCACCATGATGTAGGTTGGAATTTGGTTCTCTACCATGATCAAATCTCTTATGATGGCATCCTTGGTTAGCTTTACACCACTTTTTTGAACTTGTTCTTCTAGTCCTGTCATGAAAGAGCCAAACATTTTATCATCAATGTAATTGTGGAAGAAATCCATTAAGAACAAACCATCAATGGCTATGGTGTATAGCAAGGTTTCTTCCTTGAGGTCCAAGTATTTGTGGTAACTAGCACGGATGAACGGTCCTGTGCTGTGGAGTAGCTCAACTAGTTGTTTGAGGTTATGTTTTTTGAAGTGATCAAGGACCCTTTTGGCAGCAAAAACTTTGAACCTTTCCATGGGATAGAGATCAGGATGAAAGTGTGTGTATGGACCAATGGCTATGAGTTGTGGAGCAAAAGCTTCTGGCTTGACACAACTCAAAGACTTGGGCACTTGGTATATGCAAACGGGCATTGTGTTCAAGATTGAGAGGTTGGTTTCATTCACCAACTGATTTATTTGGATCACCCAAGTGTCTTCATCTGATTCTGAATCGAAGATTGAGAGAGAGGCCATCTGGGATTTTCCTACCTAATGGATTTGCTATGGCAATATGTGTAAGCATACAAAATCACATTGACACTTCAAACCTTTGGTTTATTTATAGAGAGTTGCTAATGGATGAAGAACGGTAATGATTGCTAGTTAGTTACCACATAATTTAATATATTTTTTTCACATTGAAAACATGTGCATGAATTTAAATTATTAATTATCGTTTTACAACACATAATTCACAATACTACTTTTCAAGGCTTCCACATTACGCAAGTGTTTCACATTATGGTCAATTGGCCCACAATAAAAGCAATGGGATGAAAGTTATTTGCCTGTCCTGTGCTGTGCTAACGAACTAATTATTGGACACTAGCAAACATAGCAGATTTTTCATCTGTTTATAATATCAATTAGGCTTTTCACATGTTATTTTTTCATATCACGTTATACCTTGGTAATTGATGTACAAATAACTTGTAATATGATATGAAAAATATAAAAATAAAGCATAAACAAATATATACACTGCATTTTACAAATATAAAAACACCGATGTAAATTGATATAAGTAGAGAAGTGCGTAACTCAAGTCAAGATTCAGATAACTTAAGAAAGTCAAATGTATATAAAACATAATATTGCACTTTTCTACCAAATTTTACTACAATTATCATAATTGTAGTATATAATTACTATTTAGGTTTCTTTTACAAAAGCATTTTATATTACGAGCTTCAGTTCAAAAATCTATATGAAAAATTATTTTAAAAAGTAAGACTACAACCTATATTAATATAGGTCATAAATTTAATTAACTTGTTTAAATGAACTTATAGTGAAATCTTTATAGAAGAAAAAATAATGAATAATTTTTTTTATAAATTAAATGAAAGAACTTCTAAAAAAAAATAAAAAAATATGTTATTTCTAATTTACAAAAAACAAATTATTATTTTTTATAATAATTTTTTTCCTATAAAAACTTCTTGAAAAATTTACCCAAAGAAAACAAATCAAGAGTGAATTATCCTTTATTACTATGTATTCATAGGCATGCTAGAGTATTTTAGTTGGAAAAGTCAAATACATAAAACACTACTAAAAATGAGAAGGAGCTTTATTCCATCTTTTTCGCTTGTAAAATCTTATATATTAAAAATTTTGATAATTACGTAAAAATGATGTTAAACCACACGATAAGACCCGGTGTTAAGTGAGGAGGTGAGGAAAGGACGTGATGTATTCTCACGTGTGGGGTGGGAACAAAGATTTTTATATAATCACTACACAGAGTTTACTTAAGAAGATAAGAATTGTGTGATCGAAATTTTAAAAGGAAAAATAATGCAAATGCCTACATGATTACAGCTAATTAACAAATTTAAAATACTTTTTTTAATAAAAAATAATATTAACGTACCTTCAATACACACATGAATCTTACTTTAATTTTGCTATTTGAATTTTAACTCTGTCGCGTAGAGTGAGTTTGTTTTATAAATTGAGAAAGTAAATAGTCATTTATCATTGATTTAATTTGAAGTACATGATAAAGATTCAAGTGTGTAATTTTCTTACTTCTTTAATTTACAAACAAACTTATTTTACAGAAATATTTCTCTTTTAATTGTGTTTTAGGTCTCGTTTGGTATAAGTTAAAAAGGTTTATAGTTTGTACTTGATAAATTAATTGGTAGATTATGCGTTAGCTTGGTTAAATATTTTTATAACTATTTATAGGAGTCAAAATTTAGTTAAATAAATTTACTTTCCATAAGTTAATCAATTTATATTTTCTATTTTTTTCAAAAACTCTTTCATTAAACTTCTTCGAAACTTAAAAAGGTAAATTTTTTCAAACTCATGAAACAAATTTTATTCATTTTTTATGTTGTTTTTATTCTTTTATAATGACTTATTTACAAAGTCACTTAAACTAGATTTATGCCTTGTAGTTGGAAGCTTGTAACTTAGAGTTAGTTGATTGAATTATAGTTATTTGATAAAATTAATTGTACAATAAGTTAACATATATTAAATAATTAAAAATTTATTAGAGTTATTTTCTGAGTAGAAAAATTTAAAAAGCTAAAGATAAGAATAAAATAAAATATTAGTAGTTAATTAAACTTTCAATAACTTGAATATTATTTGAAGTGACTTTTTAATTATGGGATAGCTTTCAAAAATTTAAAATTTCTTTTATTTTTTGCTTACTGAATAGTTGTAGTAGCTTATTAGAAAAAAAATTATAAAATCCTAAATAAAATATAAACTTGAATTGTAAAATACACTCTTAATATTTTAAAAAAATTCTCAAAACTATTGTCTGTCACATTTATAATTTCTTATCTCTCTCTTATATACTCTTACGAATTTGATAAAATATTTAATATATAATGAAATATATATTTAGCAGATAAAAATATTAATATTTTTTATTTTTATTAAATATATCACCCAAATATAGTAGTTTTATACCAATATTTTTAACAACTTCTTTTGAAAAATTCTTAAATAAAATAATTAAATCACATACTTTTATAATGATTTTTTTTCAAAAAAATCACAATACTGCTTAAATAGTTTGTGTATTTTTTTTCTTATGATATAATATTATTAGTTTTATTATCTTTAGTCTCGTTTTTAAAGTTTAGATAAAAAATATTTTAATAGTATTTATTTAATTTTAATTTTCAGTTTTTATAAATTATACACGATATAATTATTTAAATTTCTTAGAAAAATATTTTAAAGAAAAAAAAGAGAAAGATATATTTTTTTAATTTTAAATTAAAATAATTATATATCATTTATAATGATAAATTTATGATTAATATGTTAAATTTATATTAATATATTATTTTAAATAAATATTAATTTTAAATATATTTATTAAAATATAAAATTTATCTTCCTATTTCCCTTTTTTCTAAAATTCTCATTTCCAAACAAATCTTAAAAGAATAGAACAAATATTTTAATACAGTAAAAAAAGACATTTTCATGTATATATTAACTTACACTAGCGTTATATATATATATATATATGTATATATGTATATATAGATCTTTCTCCCAAAGAAATTCATGTTATCATGATACTTCTGCGTTATTTCTACTAAAGGAATTTGATTGTATTAATGTAATGTACCCTTCTCCTTAAAATGTTTAAAGTGTTCACCTCTGTCTTCACATGTATTTTTCTTATGATTGCATTCGTATTATTTCAATTGATCTTTCTCTTAATTTGAAATTAAAAGATATATTACTATTTTTATTTAATCAATCTTTTTATTAAAAACATAAAAGCACTAATTAATAACTCTTAAAAATATAAAAATACTAACAATACACTTTGAATTATTTATTAAAATATATAAAAATTATAAAATATAAGCTAAATTATACAATTAATTTCTATCCAATACCTTTTTTATGATTTAGTCCTTCTCCATGAAATATCAGTATCAATTATTATATAAAAATTTATTTTTAATTTTATTTCTACTATTATTGTACTATAGTAATAATTTTCTCTCTTACTTAATAAATGGTTATTCAACGTTACTCATTATCTACAAATATTAAAGTTTAAATTGTTTTTTAATTATTCTATGAGACTCTTTTTATAATTTAGTCTTTAAAAATAAAAATAAAATAAAATTGTACATCACTTTCTATACAAAAATTTATTTACAATTTTATCTTTATTATTATAGTGATATTTTCATATCAATGTCAAATAATATTTTTATTATTATCATTCGTAGAATATTTTAAATTATTCAAAGAAACTTTATATTTTTTATACATTTTTAATTTAAAAATAAATAAAATAGTAATGATAGTAATAATTTAAAAATAATTATGATTTTCTTATAAATATACTAAGAATAAAAAAAAGAAAATTCTTAACTTTAAGTACCATACAAATTAACATAGTCAAGAATTAAGATATTATGATAAAAATGATAGAAAAAAAGTTGATAATTACGATAAAAATATAATAAAAAAGACAAATTGTTATAATTGAGATAAAAATATTGAAAGTAATATTAACACAAAAATGAATTAAAATATAAAAATTTTTATAATATTTTTTTAAGTAAAAAATATTATTAGTAAAACATCATGAATTAAAAAGATATAAAATAAAATATGAGACTACTTTTGAAAAATTTAAAATATTATCCGAAAAATGATGTAATCATTATCCACCTTAATGTGGAGACAAATTTGACAAATTTTTATTTTAAAAAATATCGTGCAAGGACTAATAGTTGATGTAAACCAAATATATATATTAAAAAATGTTTTAAAAAAAAACTATTAGCAGTCGTAGCCATATGATTCAATTTTTTCTGGTATGGGTGTTGACGTGTCTCAAACTCGGCACACTATAATGACATCTAATCTGGGAAACCATTAGAGCACCATAAATGTCGTCATTGAAGTGATTTCCACTCCTAAAGCAACCAATGTGTCATCTTGTTTCTTTTTCTTTTTCTTTTTTATTTCATCGATAACAATCCATCAATAAAAATTTAAGGCCCTACTCACTTGAAAGATTTGATGTTGAAGACAAAACAGTTTTTCTTCATGTTGATTTTTTCTACCTAAAAGTCCTAAATTTTCATTTTCACCCAAAATAAAAATACCTCAATTTTCTCTCTCTTCAAACCTTAATCTCATATCTTACAAAATCTTTTAAATTTTATCAAGTTTTTACTAAATTTTCATCTTCTAAACTCTTTAAATGTAAATAATTAACATTTAACTCTTTTGTTCTTAGCATTAATTGCCCACCAAAACAAGTATTGTAAACATGAGAAGAGATTCCACAATCATTATATCCTATTTTTAGGATCTTAACAACTATAATCATGTACATCCAACTTAACTATTTTTTCAAGATATGAATCGAATTTTAATTCTTTGTTGGCCAATCTAACAATGACATTAAGAAGAATAACATTCATCCCCATAGAATTATATCATACACTAACTAAATTTTATCCATTATTATTATTTGGTATCACTAATATTTTAATGTTATTTTTTTATTAG